GAGAACTGTATCCAGAAATATTGACTAAACAAAAGTCACCAAAGTGACTCTGTGGCTCCGTCCATACTACTGGAATACCAAAAGCCAAGCTGTTTCTTGGATTGGGCTTGTGGGCATCCTGGTTTTCTGTAGCTCAAGAAGTAGAGCAGGTCATCTACTAAGGTTGGTGGTTTGATCCCTGGCTGCTCTGGATGCCTCTGGATGTATTCGAGTGAGTGTTAAGTAGAAAAGCACTTAGGCATAGAGAAAGGTACTTATATGAAGGAGGCATGTTGTAAAAAGTGCTATATAAGCACCAGCTCATTTTATCATTCTCTTTTCCTTAGTCCATTTTTGCAGCTTTTCAACAAACTATCCTATCAAACTGAAAAGGATACCCATTTTCATACCAAAAGAAGCAAAATATTTTTTTTTCACAAAGCGCTTATGTTTTGTTGTTATTTGGATGAGGTTGTGCAGATATGATCCAATATGATGCAGGCTGGTGTGTTCAGTGATGCCCCAGATCCTTCCAGAAGGCCTTTGGCCACTGGCATCAGCACCAGCATTTGGCCATGTATTACACCGCTAATAGTTAGCTATAACTGCCACTAATACAAGACACATTATAAGACATGTCTTCGAAAGACTCCTGAATTTACATATATGTGAGAATTTCATAAGAACAAAGACGGTGGGACCTTCCAGAGAAGAAAAAGGATTTCTTAAGAATGGTGATTTGACTGGTGTTGGATAATACTGTTACTGCTTTATTCTAGTGACCACTGAAATGCAAGTTAGTGTACAAAATGCCTCAGATTAACTGCTCATAAGATGTGTTACCAAGATGGCTTCCAAGTGCTGAGATATGCTTCTAGAAGAATGTCGATATTGGTACACTGCCATCAATAAATGTCAACTCATATAGGTGTCAGTAAGGTATAAATTGAAAGTAAGACAAATATCTGGAGGGTGCATTCTCTACACCCCTAGTAATTAGGTGTAATTTGTACCTATACTAATTAATTTCAACCTGTAACATGTTAGCTAAATAACAACACACACAGACAAACAGATCTGATTTAGCCATTCCAGCCAACAGAGACATCACAATAATGTAGCATGTACATAGTGTGGGAGATAATCCACTCATTTCCAAACAAAGGATTTGTGTTTCCTTCGAACACAACTGTAAACCACCAGCTGGCTCCATCACACATCCGGCCCAGCAGTGGAGGCAGGGGAAACTAAAATGTGACCAAAATGTGTGAGAAAAACAAGACCACACCAGGGCGGGAAAAGTAAAACCCGTGTCACACATGTACATGCACACAGTTCCTGGTGAGGGTCATCTTTTCCAGTCTGTCACGATGCTCCCTTCACTGTCTCTGCTGTTATTTTCTCCTTTTTATCTTCAACTGCTTTTTTTTTATATCTCAGTACAGCCACAGTCTCCCGCTGTTATTGTTGCTTTGTATTTTACACGTGATGTTCAAATGTGTGTCAGCTATACCTTACATTAACAGCAATGATTCTAATATGATTCAGAGAATATGAGAATGTGCTCATGTGGTCTTCAAGCATAATTTTATAGTGATGTTTTTTGCTGTCAACACAATATTTCTGCAGTGACTAAGAGCTGCCGTGCTGAGTTCAGCATTAATATAGGACCACATTTTTTACAAGCACCAACAATACAATGATTATTAAATAAAAACACAAACACGGGGTAACAATAATACTAAACATGGACCTTTTAAGATTAATATACATTAATATATATATATATATATATACATATATATATATATATATA